CGCCAGAGCCGTGCAGGCTGGGCAGAGCCAGGAAAGCGAGCCGCGGGTGCGTGCCTGCCTGCCAAGCAAAAGAGCCAGGCTGACCTGAGCTTGGCTTCCTTCCCAAGTCCCTCCAGCCCGAACCCAAAGGGGCCATTGGGAGAGGCCGCCCGAGGCAGTGATAGCGCCTACCCATCCGTGGACAGGGAGACAAGGCGACGGCCTGCGCCGCGTCCTCCTCCGAGCTGAGCCCTGCCAAGTGAGCGCCTCTGCCCAATGCCTGTGCCGCTGCAGCGTTTGGAGCTGCTGGCGCATTTGGACATGCATGGGGATGGGGACGAGCTGGGTAAGGGGTGGAAAGGACGGGCGGTTTTGGGCTCTCTCCACCGGACCCGCCAGCCAGGGAAGCAGCGCTGCCGTCGCCTCGCCTCCCTGTCCACAGACGGGTGGGCGCTATCATTGCCTCGGGCAGCCTCTCCCAGTGGCCCCTTCGCGTTCGGGCTGGAGGGACTTGGGAAGGAAGCCAAGCTCAGGTTGGCCCGGCTCTTTCGTCTGGCAGGCAGGCACGCACCCGCGGCTTGCTTTCCCGGCTCTGCCCAGCCCACACGGCTCTGGCGCGGCCCTGGCAGGATGAGCGGAGGGCCCGGTGGGGAGGCGCTCGCTGCCTTGGCGAGAGCTCCACCGCCAGGCAGGAAGGCCTGCCAGTCAGCTGCGTTGGGCATCCCAGGCGAAGCTCTTCGTGCTCTGCCTGGCGCCAGGCAGGGATGGTGGCTGGGCGCTTCTCTGGGGTGGGCTGATCCTGAGCTGCGGCCCCGGGAGATTCGCCTCACCATGTGGGGTTGGGCTGCCCTCTCAGGCAGGGGAGGCTTTGTTGTACCAGTAGTAGGACGTCGTTTTTAAAAGAATTGGCTTTGCCTTCGAAGGCGAAGGGAAGGCGGCGACAGGAACGCCTGAAGCCGAGTGTCTCCGCCGGACTCCGGTTGCAGGGAGGAGCCCTGGCTGGCCGCGCGTGGCTGCGCCAAATGCTGGCAGCATGGGGAAAAGGGACAGCAACGGTGGCGGAAAGTCTCCCAATACAAAGTGCCCCACCAATGCCGAAGTCAACGCAGGCAGCACCATATCCCGGTATGCAACAAAAGTACTTCCTAACGGCAAGCCCCCCCGCCATTCCCCCTCATTTTGCATGTTTAATATAGGCCTTAATTTGGGGGGAGGGGCTTAATTTGATTTTATGCCTATAAAACATGCTGGGACTTCCTATTGGGGGAGGCCGTATGGTTGGAGAAACATGGTATTCTCTCTTGTTGACAGGACTTAGGTAAGTTTGTAAATTTTACAACATTTTATTTCCTTTACACTAAACTACAAAGCATATGGGCAGTTGCTCCATATAATGACAGTTTAGAAATGGGAATCTTATGCTGTTTTTAAAGCACTCTCATTCCCTCAGCTATCATAGATAATTATAAATAATTTATAATTTATTTTTATTCAATAACCATTGTAAATATATGGAAGACTAGAAAGACTTGAGCCAGGCAAACCCATACTACTAATTCAAGGTCATTCAAATTTAGAATTCTAATAGTGATAATTGTTAATACCTTATCTTGGCAATTAGCATATACTGTTCGTTACAAAATGAACAAAAACAAACAAGACATCTGACCTAAAGCAGCTCTTTCCTTTCCCTTCTGCAAGCAAACATATGTTCTAGCTGGAATAGAAATTTTATCCTTCTCTAATTATTAAAGTATGCAAAATGACTAATTTTCATAGCCCTACACTATGTCCATCTGCGTCCCGTTTTAATGTAGAATGCAATACTATTTCCAGAATCATTTCACCTAACCTGAAACTATAAAGTGTTGATTAATGCTATTTTTTATTCTTTTTCTAGTGCATGTGTCCATTAATGTATGTCAGAACAGGAATCACTGTATTTTAGGTTCATCGTCCTAGACAGATGATTGTATTTCTCAACTTCCAAAATCTTCATCTAACAAGTAGAGAAGACTGCCCCTATACTTTCAGGAACTATGGAAACAGCTATACAGATCCACAGATTCCCAGAGCGAGTGACAGTATATAATTGAGTGGGAAAAATAGTGTGACTGTCCAGTACAAGCACTGGTTATTTTGTCTTTTGACTTTGCCCCACCCAATCAGGGTGTATTTGCTGCCAACATCTGATTCTCTTCTCACCAATAATGGTTCAAAAAGAAGGCCAAAAGAAAGAAAATATTTTCTCCCTTCCACTGTTGAAGAAATACAAACCTTGCATCAGGATCCGACAATAAATCTAGAGAGAGACTTAAGCTTTTGGAGGCAATTATTAGTTTACAATCCCTCAACACACATATTACAATTACAATTGTGGGCTTAAAATAATAATTTGGATATATTAATAATACCCAATACCAAAGAAAACAAGTTCATGGCTTAAATAAAAGGACTAGGTTTCAAAAGAGGAAGAATGAACAGAGCATAATGGATAGGCCCATCTCAGATGATAATTAGGCTTTAAAGAAATGCTGCCAGGGAAGGCTTGATTTGATTACATAAAAAAGAAATCTGACTTCAAATATCACTCTCATCTCGTTATTTACAGCACCTAAAAATGGGAGAGAGAAAACGGGTGTTTTCTTCCTCTATCTTACAATACTTTATCCCACAACTTCAATGTTTTTTTCTTTTCTTTAACTTACTGGAGGCTGGAAGAATTGGTAAAAGATCAGATTATGACTGCATTCTGATAATAAACAGAACCAATAGAAGTTTGTTTTGTTATAATATCAATCTCTAGTTTTAGCTGCAATTTAAAAAGTTACCAACATAAAAAATCCTTTAATCTACTAAATATAATATTGCACAATTATTATTTTGTATTATCTTCCATGAATGAAGACAAATGGATCCCATATTATCTTTTCCCATAATGTCTTCTAGACTTCATTTTTCAATCTGACATCCCAATTAACATCCCCATGAATAAATGTGCTCCATGGTCATTTTTATACAAATTTAGTCTATTCAGATGTTCCAGATCAGTGGTCGCCAACTGGTGGACCGCGGCCCACCAGTGGTCCGCGGCCCACTGGTTGGTGACCACTGATCTGAAAAGAAAATTTTGGTGGTCCACAGAGAAATGTCACCCCCAAAAGCACCCCCCAAAGCAATTAATCCAGGCTGTGTGGGAACACAAGGCTTGCGTCATTTGCATTGCAAACAACATGGTGTAATGAGGGGAGGGGGGAAAGGGCAGAAGGGGAGAACTTGCCCACTCGCCCCACGCACCTTGCCTGGCTATAGGGCTGCATCTTTCTGCTTCTTCCTTCTGCTTTGGGCTGCACGCAAGGAAAGCAGCAAAAGTCTTTCTTTCTCTCTCCCAAACACTGCCAGAAATGAGTCTTTCTGCAAGGCATCCTGCTCCAAGAGGCTGCACTGGCAAAGACTCATTTCTGGCAGAGAAAAAAAGACTTCTGCTGCTTCTGCTGCTTCCTTGCATGAAGCCAAAAGTCTCTTTCTCTCTCTCTCTCCCCCTGAGAATGGAGCTGGAGATGGTACTCTGCGATCCCAAATAATGATCGATCGGTAGGAAAACAGAGTGGAGAATTTTCCTGCAGACCAGAAGCCAGCAAGGAAACGGCAGAAAAGAGGAAAGGAGCCCTAAAAAAAAAGGGAGGAGAAAGGACACCAAAGTGTGTGGGGGGGGATGACTCCCCAAGGAAGAAGGCAAGCTCAGAGCGGTAGAGGCTGCTCTTACCAGCAGCAGTCTGAGAGGGATGAGGCAAGGGAATAAGGAAAAATGACCATGCAAAGTGCCCAGGCAGCGCATCGCAGCTGCTGGACAAGCAGACAAAGTCCCATCCATTGCCATTGCTGCTGCTTTTTCACTCTCACTTCCAGAGAGCGCTTCTGCCACCATTGAGCAGCCCAGTGCTTGCTCCGCCACTGTGCCTGGATTGATCTGGTCACACACACGCACACGTGCTCTGCCTCTCGGCCCAAGTTAGGAATCCTCCCCAAATGCCCCACGTTGACAAAGAAGGCATGGCTGGTTTGACTGGAGAAATTGCTTCATGGCTTTTCCCTCCTTTCTTTCTCCGCTCTCTGGCCTGCCCTATGGAAGGACTCTCACAGCCATGGAGCAGACCGGTGGCCCCTACAATGGGGTTGCAACTTTGTCGGAAGAGCCATTGGCCAAGAAGGTAGGGAAACAAAGACCCGGGCAGGGTTTTTAGGGTTTTGCTTTCCAGTTCTCTAGAAACTCAGATGCGGCTTCGGTGGCAAGCCTGGCAGCTGTATGTATCCCAAGAACATGTCCTCCTCCTCCCAAAATCTAAAAAAGCAGGGGTTCTGAGCTAGTAAAATCGGTGTTTAAGTGAAGTTCAGAAGCCTGTCTATATCAACTGTCATCCAGACCAGGATCTCCAACCTTGGCAACTTTAAGCCTGGCGGAGTTCAACTCCCAGAATACCCCAGCCAGCTTTCTTAGTGATCCATGGAATTTAAAATTATGAGTTTGCTGGTCCCTGAGGTCCAAAAGGTTGGCGACTCCTGTTCCAGATTGATATATCAATTGGAACTGATACTGAAGTATGCATTTTTAGAATGCTATTCACAACTCCAAATCCACGCCCAGGTACCCATTCATATGTTATAAACACATGCACTAACAATGCATCTCCTAGATAAAATACATTGTGTGCATACAAATATAGGTTGATATTTAATTAGATGGTTGATTCTCAAATGGAAATGCTGGTATGCAGTTTTGATTGGAAAACTAAGATTTTGAAGAATTCACTACTCTCAGTGAACTGTAACCTTAGTTACAAATAAGCAAATTATTTTGACAAATTATATAAACCTATCATCATCTTAAATAATAATGAATTTGCAGTACACATAGATTTACTGCTACTGTGGCAATCTGATCAGGAAAGGAAACCTTAAAAAATTAAAATTCAGGTCACGTAAATTCTTAGATTTGATATCTAGTTGAATTTCACTCTCACCTTTCACTTGTTCAGAACACAGCTCCTTGGCTTTGTCTTTCATTATTTTTGGAATCAAAATATCCTTTTCTACATGTCTGAGCTTTGGTTCCTCTGCAAGAAAAAATATACATAATATTTCCAACCATAGATAAAAGTCACAGCTGAATTCATAGATTAAGATGCAACATGTGAAGTCCAAAATTCTGAACAAGAAATAATATAATTTCTATTATGGAGTTTTAAGCTATTTTTAATTAATCATAACTTTCTTTTAGCAATTCAGAAGTTTCACTGAGATTTTACTACTCATATATTTGTAAATAATATATCCAAGAAGGCCACTGGCTAGGATAATCCCATTTTATCTGCATACAAATTCTGATTTCACTATATCTAAGCAGCAAGCAATATCTGAACTCTGACCTTGCCAGTCAAACTCTACTGCAATACACTAATCAGTGTATCACTTAGGTTCATGATTATTCACAAATAACAGGGTTTTCAGAACTATAATCCAATAAATATATTAAAAAGGTGATATAAAAACAACTATTTTAATTAAATACAATGCAAAGCATTACTCAGACCATTTCCATTATTTTAGCTAATCTGATACAAGCAGAAGCATGTATTGTAACATTTGAAGCTATTACTTACTGAAGGGAAGGCTGAAAAAAATTAACTGAGGAGAGCAACAGCAGTCACAACTCTCTTTTAGTTTCCAAACCTATAGTGCAGGAGACCAGAAAAACTTCTTTTCATGACCACTAGTAATGCCTTTAGCTGCTTCAAAATCTAGGAATTGAAGTTCCTTACTATATAGAAGACACCACTTGATAAAAGCAGCCTTAAAGGCTCTCTCATATCAAATCAAAATGTCAACATCTGTTGAGCTCTGACTTAAAAAGACAGATTATTCCTGACTAAGAGTACATTTCCAGACAGAAATCTATTACCTGCTACCTGTTTCTTTAACTGAAGACCACAGCAATAGGAAGACTCTAAAGCTGTCTCCATTATGTAAACATTTGCTCTATTTTAATGCAAAGTACTCCCCCTTTAAAACAAACAGAATATAATGTAAATTTCAGCTTATGATTCACTGGGATAAATGAAAAGATAAACTATGCAAAACATTATTTCTTTTATTTTTATTTTTTTAAAAAATCAACTGATCATATAAGAATGAGCTGGGAAACGATAGATTTGGATCAGTACATATAGAATTTCAAGTCAGTCTCATTTTAAACTAATTTATAAGAAATTTATATGGCATTCTTTAGAAAAAAAAATCCATTGTATCAGATAATAATACTTTGTTTCCTCCTCTTTTAGCACATTGCATTTTTATCTGGATTAATATTAGGCTGCATTTGAATAAAGTAGGAATGTTGACTCACTTCTGAAAATTGAAAAAAGTCTTCACTTGCTTTGGAACATTTTAAAAGGATAGAAAAGTTACTACAGTGAGATAAAAGTAGGCCCAGATAGAAAACAGCTATTCACTTCACGTCTACCGAGGTTAACCCCAAGAATGCATGGAGAGAGGAATGGTCAGACCGTTTCTTGCACCTTGACCATTAGTTATTTTTCTCTACCAAATTATTGTATTTTAATTTGGCTCGCTCTGTCTGGACAAAACTGAACAGAATTAGATGTCACACTGGAAAAAGTGCCTCTCTGCCTTGTGTCAATGGAGCTGGAAGGATTCCCCTGTTGCAACTGTGGGGATAATATGCAAATTATTAAATATATTGTGCAAAACTGCCCACGACATGCATTTTCTGGTTCCTTAGAAGATCTGCATGAAGCAACACCAGAAGTGATTGCCTAGATAGCTGAACTGGATATCCAGTTATAATGCCACTGCTGTACCTCTGTAGAAATTTTGTATACAATTAATATAATAACAGAATTGGAAGGGACCTTTGGAGGTCTTCTAGTCCAGAGTCGCCAACCTTTTGAACCTCAGGGACCACCAAACTCATACTTTTAAATACTTTTAAGGACCACTAATATGGTTTAAAAAAAATGATATATTTAATATAAAATTTGTAATTCTTTATATTAAATATAACTTTAATATTTAAAAAAATAATTGTGTGTGTGTGCTCATTTAATTATAACAAAATCGTAACTAATAACTGTGAAGCAGAGTGAAGGGAAAGGAGGGTCCTCTCTCATCCTTTGGACGGAAAGAGGGAGGATTTAATACTACTGGGATTCAAAAGAAACCACATGGTACCTGGAGGCTGGGAAGATCTGGACGGGGAGGAACTGGCTCCCTCTCAAATGGAAGTAAAGCAGAGCCGCCCCTAATCTGGTCTCCTTTCATTTAATATCTCCCCCAAGTCAGAGGAAACCTCTCCCTCCTTTGCCAGATGTGGCTGCCTGTAGTTGGGGGAGGGAAGGAGAGCTGGAAGCACTGAGGAAGACGGGCTCCTAATAACCAGGCAATGCGCTCCCTTTCAGCCTCCACACAAGAGGACTCCCCGAGGCGAAGCTCCAGGTTTCTCCTGCCACTTCCAAGCAGAGAACAGTCCCTTCCTATGTGGAGGCCGAAGGGGGAGGGATGTTGAGCCCAGAAAAGCTCAAGTTCTCGCCTGTACAAACAGGCTGGTTATTAGGACCCCGTCTTTTTCTGTACTCCTTTGGTCTGGGCATTTGGTCTTCCCCCCGCCCCATGCCAAAGGAAAGCCAGCCGGGCTTCTCCTTCCCTCCTACCCTTCTCTCTGCTCCCTTCCCCTCACTCAATCTTACTTCGGGACAGAGGAAAGCGCGCTGGAAACATATGTTGGCATTTCCAACACGCATTTCTCTGGTGCTTACCTGCAATTCTTTGTGTTTCTCCAAGCCTGGCTTGCTGAGGGGGGAAAGCAGCCCTGACATCTCTGCTGCCCCCCCACAGCCCCAGCCATTGCTGCCTGGAGAAGGCACAGGAAAAGAAAGCAAGCAGAAACATAGTTCTCGCTGGGGCGAAAGAGCGGAGATCGGGGAAGGCACAGGCAACAGAAAATGGCACTTTTCAAAGGCGACAGCTTGCATCTTCTCTTGCCTGTACTTTCCTTGATCTCAGATCTTTCGCCCCAGCAAGAGCTATGTTTCTGCTCACTTTTCCTGTGCCTCCTGGGGAGTGATGGCTGGGGCCATGGGGGGGCAGCAGAGCAGAGCGCCGAGAGGGACGAGAAAACTGACGATGCCCCATTCCGGACCTCTGAACTGGATGGTGAGCTCAGACTTGCCCAGTCTACCTCCTCCCACCATCACCAGCCAGTACTTTTCCTGCCCTAAGCCGTCCCTACAGCCCGCAGCCAGGAGAGGCAAGCTGGAAGGTACGGGAGTGCCACACAAATGCAGGTACCTGCACCTTCCAGCCATCTCCATTGCTTCAGCCCGCCTGTGCTGCCAGCCCCTCTTGCTGCAACAGCACAATTACTTCATCCTGGCTGGTGAGGGCTGCACTGCTTTTTGCAGGTTTGCGCTTGGCCAAAGGGTGGGGGCCAGCAGGTGGGTGGTATAGCATTATGTTCCCTCGCAGCCTGGATTGCTTTGGAGGATGCTTTGTGGGGACATTTCTCTGTGGACCAGCAAAATTTTCTCATGGCCCACCAAACCCCTGCCCAAGAAGGAGATCTTATATAAAATTAGTGATAATTCCTTTTTTCCTTTCCACTTATATTTTTGTTTAATTAGGTATTACACCTTATTATATACAGGTTATTGAATTTTCTGTAGTACAATATTCAAAACAAGTATCAAGTGTATTAACTAAGATCCATTTTAAAGATGGGATATATTGCTCCAATCTGTTTTGTTTCAGCTCCATTTTGCCAATGAAGCCCCTTCATACAATAAACAATTGTAACTCTTGTAGGCTTTGATCAAATAAAATATAGCAATTTTTGAGTCATCTGTTGTGAGAAGGGAATAGCTACTGACAATTAGATGATCCTTGTTCTCTTTTTTTTTTTGTTAAGACATCCATGTGTTATATAGCATTAATAACTGTGTGAGCAAATAAACCAGTATAACTTGGTGGATTTAGGAGGACTGATTTCTAAACCTCACTTTAGTGACAATTTTTGAGATAAAGAAGCATTTTATCAAAGTAATGCTTCTACATGCCGAAATCTTTATAAAGACTTTTTTAGTTGAAACATGATGTAGCTGTCTTAGATCACCAGGCAGCATCGGAGTAGTTCTGGTAGACTGTTTACCTTAGTCAAGCATCAAACCCAAATGATTCTGTTTAACAATTTCACTGCTTTATTAGTCTTGAATTTATTTGATTAATAATTATGAAACTAAGGTGAATTACTATGTACAATTGCTTGGGAGTTAGTTCTACTAAATTAGGTAAGATTTCCAAATGCATGAAGATAACAGAACTCAAATTCTAAGCAGTTTGTTTCATTTTCTAGCTTAAAATTCTTCAGAAAATTGCATATATTTCTATTATCCTTAACTTTTAAATTTTGAGATTTTACTATTTTACATTTGCATCAATTCAAATTAAGAGAGAGAGTAAGGATGACACTACCAGGAGAAAAAAATTCAAAGCTTAAACTTCTCACTATGCTATCATCACCTTGAAGTCAATTTTCACCTTTTTCACTGGCTGAATCTGTTATCTTACATTTTGCTTTGGGGCTCATGTGTTCTTGCAATATAGCAGTACTGGATTATGAGAATTCTGACAAGCATGTTTGCAAAAAAAAAGTCACAATGCTTACATTCTTGAAGGTAGAAAATCAGATTCCAAACTAATTCTATAACTGGTGAAATAAATATAAAAATATAACTAGAGATTGAGAGCAACTATACAAACAAATCAGTGACTCAGGTTCAATCAAATATAAAAGTGAATAAGAATAATAATCAAAAGAAAAATAAATATATCAATATTAATTCTTACTTTTGCAAATACAGTACTGTCCATTCAACAAGAAACAAGAGATCAGTCAAACCTTTGAAATTAAAGGAAACTACAATAACTAGAATACAGGGACACAAGGGAAATTATGGGGATCACAGCTAGCAAGAAAAGAATTCAACTTCCTTGCATGCTACTTTAATGTAAGTTCTCCTTGTGTTCAGTATTTGTTAAAAAG